CAACAACAACATCGAGGCCTCTCACCATTTTAACACACATCGACTATTTTGTCTACCCATGTTTTACCCAACATATTTGTAGATAAAATACATATACAGTTTAAAACTTGTATAAAACATCTATTCAACGGTCACATCAATTAAACAATTAATATAATTAGACATAGCACGTATTTTATAGAAAATACTTCATATCTAGGTGTAAGATGAAAGTGACTACACACTCACTTGATTTGCTAATAATCGGGCAGCACTTCGTTGCCTAAAACGATCATTTCTAATAAAACCGGGAGTTTTTATGAGAAACCGGGCTCTGTGAGGGTCGGGCTTCAAAACCGAAAAGATAAATTTCTCGGGATTCTCTGGCACTTCGGGGCGTATTTCGGGTGTTTGGTATAATACCGGGGCTTTGGGGGAAGTTGGAATGAAAGAAATATGGGTTTAGGGGTGTAAAATGACAAATTTCCAAAATATACCCGGGAGATCTCGCACCCTTCCATTTATAGGGGCGAGGCTTCTGAGCGGACGGCTGAGGAGACTCCACGCGGCAGCAGATCTGAAGAGAGGGCAGGTGGCTCGCATGTGCGAGGGGTGAGCTGTTGGCCTCTGATTGGACCGAGGTCTAGGTCCGAGGCTCGGATCGTGGCACACCATGCGAAGGTCGGACACGCGAGAAAGGGCACGCGTCGGACCCCCATTGGACCGCACTTCGGATGCGAGGGAAGGCGACACGCCTCGCCAGCTGGCTTCGGATGACTCAGCAATTTCGGACATGTGACATGCATGCAGCGAGGGTGACGTGGCCGAAGTATGACTATGCGAATTTTCTCGATTTTTATGCAAAAACTTGTAAAATCCATAACTTTCGCATACGAGCTCCGTTTTTGACGTTATTTATATGCACGCATAGGTAAAATTACGCTCTACAACGTTCGTTTATACTTCGTCGGCTAATTTTGATTTTAATTTTTATATTATTATTTTTAACAGACCGGGACATGAAATCCGTTAAAAATTTATAACTTCTTCATCCGACGTCCGTTTTCGTCTGTCTTTTTACCGTTGTGCTACTATTGATGAGACCTTCGATTCTCGTTTAGGTTGTGTCGGCTAAAAATCACTCGATCTAAAATTCGAGTTTTTAGCTGTCTACTGCTAAGCTGAAACTTAGAAAAATCATAACTTCCTCATACGAAGTCAGATTTGGGAGTTCTTTTTATACATACTCTCGGTTTAGCAAACACTACGACTTTCTTTTAGATCACTAAGGCTAAAAAGTAGTTTATCAAAAACTCACTTTTTACGTCATTCGGCACCGTGTCGGTTTTGTCGCGAAACTTCGACAGGTCATAACTTCTTCGTTATAACTCGGATTTCGATGAGGTTTTCGCCTAAATGTTTCTAACGAGATTCTTTACAACTTTATCCTTAGATATCGGCTTTATTTAATTATTTATTTTCGACGCTTATTTTTATTCTTAATTCATTAATCATAATAATTAAGCAGATAAGCACATAATATTCACATAAATCATCTTTATTACTTCAAAATGAGTTACAAAGGTTAACCTAGACTATTACGTCAATATTAATGTCTAGCCTAGAAACACGGGCGTTACAACAGGCGACGCTTTCCTATTCCCCATGATCAAGTTTATCTTCCCATGCTTCACATCCCTACTTCTTCTTAGACCCTGCAAATCAGAACAAATGTGAAAACCACATCCTGTATCGAGGACCCAAGACATATCATGTGATGAGTAATTGGATTGAATAGTATAAATACCTGCGAAGGATGGATTTATCTTTCCATCCTTGATATCTTGCAGATACTTCGGGCAACTTCGTTTCCAATGCCCTTGGTCGTGGAACTAGAAGCACTCTGCGTCCTTCGGGTTGGAAGAGGGAGCAGCAGGACCAACTTTGGTTCGACTAGAAGAGGTACCATCATGAGACTTTCCCTTGCTGCTCTTAGAAGGAGCCTTCCTCTTCTTTCATTTTCCTTGCCCAATAGCCAAAACAGGGGCAGTAGTAGTAGGAGTAGATGCAATAGATTTGCCTTTCAGACTACTCTCAGCAGTCCTTAGCAGGCCTTGAAGCTTGATTAGAGTGACCTCCTCCTTGTTCATGTGGTAGGTCATACGAAACTGGTCATAGCAAGAAGGCAATGAGTGTAGAATGATATTTATGGCCAGCTCCTCATCGAAGTTGACATTCAACTTCAGCAAGCGGTTTCTGCAAGTGGGCCATGATGGACTCTCCATCCTTCATGTTGGTAGTGATCATCGCAGCGATGATCTCATATCGTTCCTGCCTAGCACTTTGATGGTACCTTTCCATCAAATCTTGGTGCATCCCGTAGGGGTAGTAGTCCTCGTAGGACTTTTGGAGTTCAGCAGTCATTGTTGCGAGCATGATGCAATGAACCTTCGTAGCATCTCGCTCGTTGGTTTCGTAAGCAGCGATTTGTTCGTGAGTAGCAGTGTTCACATTGACCTCTTTCAGCTCCTTTTCGAGAACATACTCTTTGTCCTTGTAGCGGGTGACCATGCGAATGTTGCAGATCCAATCGTTGAAATTGGACCGATCAAATATCACCCTCCCACACAAGTTCATGAGTGAGAATGAGCTGGAAGGGGTCGAGCCAGAAGCGTTGTTGTTGTTTGAAGTAGACATTTGAAACAGAAAAGGAATAAAGTTTAGATTAGATAAGAATCCCCAATTAAACACCCAAATGAGAAATTAGGGCTAGGATCCAACAAAATATTTACAATTTAGAAGAGGGATGTCGTAATCCAAACTGCAAATAACTTGAAGGTAGGTAAATGACGATTTACCAATTTCCACCATAAAAAATTAAAAAAGCAATTAAGTTTTAAATGTATTGAAACTCCTAGATCTTTTGAGATTCATTGAACTTTTCAATGGCATGTTTAAATCTCGATATGCCCTTCAAGTTTGTAACTGGGATACCGACGATCACAAACAAGGTGTGAATAACCATGCAAATGTACTTGGTACCCTCGATGTCATTTACCACCTAATCAATGTGCCAGTTAGCCACACACGCTCCATTGATCTATGTTAAACATCAAGTCACCCTTTTCCACCATTGCTAGTCCCAAATTAGTGTGTCGGTTATCCACGCACGCTCCACTAATAACTTGGCAGGGTGCAAAGTGTAATTTCATGGAATAGCATCATTTCACATTTTTCCTAAAGTAACTAAGATTGTGAATTTTTATAAAAAAACATTTAGTTACTTTATTAAACATTATATTTTTAATGAGGAATTAGTTGCCCTATCCTACCCGTTCGGCTAACGACCCTCCACCAATCAAGGAAGCGGTGGGTGAGAATGGACACCCATTAAACTGCCATTTTATAGGAAGCAACCTTATACCCCCCTTATAGATCGGCTTCGTGAATGAGGCCTACTAACGGTAGGACGCTTAATCTTATACATAAATATAATTATTAATCTTGTAATAATATAATAGTATATGGGTTGAATTTTAAACTTGTAAAATTCTAGGGTTTAGAATTTAAATATTTCAAAATTAACCTTTTAATCAAAAATTTAAATTCCAAAATTTGAGGGCAAGTTTTGAAACTTTTTCAAAACATCTTTTAGATCAAATTTGAAAAATAATTAATTAATCATATTATTGATATTTATCAAATAATTTGACCTAATCTATTTTCTTTATCAGATAACTCAAATCAAAAATACAAATAATCAATTTTGTCTTATAAAACAAGTAATTATCTTATTTATGACAATTATCCTTCAATTGAATTAGGATAATCAATACCATATTGAAAAAATCGAGTTTTATGAGTCAAATACGTTTTTGGTAATTATCCCAATTCAATTTTTGTCAAAATCCCGAAATTTCAGCCACCAGATGAGCCGACTCGCCGAGTCATAGAACAAGACTCGTCGAGTAGCCCTGACTCGTCGAGTTCATTTGGTGACTCGACGAGTCCATCAGTCAGTGGCATAATTTTTCGATTTTTGAGCTTGAACAAATTAGCTATGCATCAAATACAAAAGAGAAACGATCTAGGCTCTGATACCACTGTTGGGTTATGAGCAAAACAACATTCCTATGGTGTTCATGCAAACCCTAATGCTTGGATCTAGTTTTTCTATTTGTACATGCAATAATTGTTCAAGACTTGGAAACCCTAATCTAGCATACAACAAAATGAAATTAACATCTAATAAACAAGTTAGAAAGTTACCTTTGATTGTTGCTTGAAGATCTTGAGCTTTTGAGAAACCTAGCACCTCAAATGTGATGCCTCTAATGAATCACAAACACCAAAAACAATTGGATGATCTTGGAGAGAGGGGGAAAGCTTAAAATCGGCTCTATGATCTCTAGGGTTCAAGTGGTAGCCGAAATTGTGAAGCCTGGGGTCCTTTATGTAGCTGCAGAGTTAGGGTTTCAGTCAAAGACCTAATCAGGTTGCTTAAGCCCTAAGTAGCCCACAAGATCGTTCTAGAAACCCTAGCTTGGATGATTTCTATATGGGCTCCCATATAAAATCGTCCATTCCTTTCCTTAAGGGATCCATAGCCCATATTGCAACTATCTTATAATTAAAATATCAGTCCCCCAAGTTTAATTAATATCTTTTTACCACAAAATTAATTCTAAATTAATTCTTGACCAATATTAATTAAACAAATATGATTTCTCCTTTAATATTATTATTCATATAATATATTAATAAACCATAATAACCTCTTTCTCCATTATACATCCAATCAAGTTGCTCTGGTGAAGGCAACCCAAAAGTACCATGCTACAACCGGATCAAGTACATACCAAATATAGTTATGGCTTAGACACCTAATCCAACAATTTGTTCCATTGACAGCTCAGTAGAAAAAAGATAGAAAAAAATGAAAGTACATGATCAAAAATTCCTTAATAATAAAAAGATTGAAAGCATAATGTTTCAATAGAAAAAAAAAATGAAAGTATATGATCAGAAATTACGTTGCTATTTGTCATATTTATAAACAACAAATTCATATAACAAATATACATGATAGACTATTTTGATTGTTTCCCTTTTTTATAAAAAGTACAGCAATTAATACAGCTAGGGGCGTAAGTCGTTTTATAGCAATGTACATTGGAATGTTGACTCCTTTCAAGCTTGCCAAAGAAAAAGCCACATTTCCATTATAAAATAGTGAAACCAGTATAAGCTTTTTTTGCAGTGTCAACATTTAGTGGTTTGGCTCTTGTCCATATCCCATTATTCTTCCAAAGTGTATAAGTAATGCAGTTGCCATTTGCTGAAACATTTCCAAAATAAAGTTAAACAACAACTTATAATAATAGTTTACTGGTTAAATTGATCTAATGATGAAAGTACAAGTGTATTTCTATATTTGGAACATAATAAATGAAAAGCATTGCTAAAGGTAAATGTATTTCATGTTACCTCTAAGGCAAGCGAATACCACAAACCACCGAGAGTGTAGATCACCAATCCACTCACATTCAGAAAGTGTACTGGAACTCCTCCTAGTAAGAAGAACCCAAGAGTCTGAACCAACCAACCAACCAACCAATCATGGAACAATGTAATTAAATCCAGGAATAGGTAGAGTAATAGCAATGTACTTTTACTTACATGTTTATTATAACATTCTATTTCTACCCAATTTTTTGCTTACTAATATATTGTATTATGAAAAACCTACCAAATTATAGCAATAAAAATATTGCTGGATGAAATTGCAAAATTTTCAAAGTGGAATGTTGTAATGGGAAGATATGAAAGTGAGATGCTTTAGTGAGCAAATCAACATAATTATGTAAGCTATTTTTTGAATTGAAGCCTTTGATTTGAGTATGGTGACTTACTGTGGATCTGACGCCCTTGAGGTCCCCCACAGTGGTTGTAGTAAGGGCATAATTGACAATTGTACATAAAAAACTTGGTGTAGTTTAAGATTATGGCCATCACTAGGGAAAGAACAAACATCACCCAAAAGTACAAGGAAGCACTCTGTACATGGAAAAGGAACAACTCAAATTAGTAGAATAAAAATATCAACAACATGGGTAAATTTTAGAAAACCACTTGTGATTTCACCATTTTATCGATTTAGTCAAATTAACTATTTTCTGGAACGAGTAAACCATTATATTATTTTTGACCGGTTCAAAAAACTCGTTTTTGGCTAGAAAGCACATATTGTTGTTAGAGTTGCAGTCATTTATTAAATTGCTAATTTTTAAACATTCATAGCAATTTTGTAGACCGATACCCCCCTCCAAATGTTGAATTTTTAGCAATATATTTCTTTTGTTGAGACATGATTTAATCTCATAAGCCATATATGAATGTTTCTTTCTGACTTGTTGCAGAAAGAACAGGGAAATCTGGGTTTCTCATAAAGTCCTAATGTTTAACAAGTTTCCCCTTATTCCCTTTTCAAATATGTTTTTAACATCATTTATCATATAGCACTTCATCCAAGACAACACTTAATGGGGGAAAAAGAACCAGGGTCTTATTAATTAACTTTTTGGTTATTTACCAACTAATGTCAAGAATTAAAGGCTTCTCATAACACTAAATATACACACATCAGGAGATCCTGACCTTTGCATATAATAATGAGATTGAAATTGGGAATTCTCCAGTAACTATTATGAGAAACGCCAAGAATGGCAAGGAAAGAAGACTGTTGTAAAACATGATTTCAATCGATGAAAGCCCATCTTCTGCACCAGACCTCTCTACCAAAACTAGGTACATCGTCTGTATAGTGCATGTGCCATTATTATAAATCTCATTTCTATTTCTACTCAATAATTAAATTATAACAGAATTCCATAAACCCTAAACACATAATCTCACCTGGAGGAAGACAGAAATAAGCGCCATGATACATCCAAACAAGTCGAAAGAAAAATCTCCAAGTGCAGCAATGATTACCCCTGCAGCAGTTAGTTATACTGAAAGAATCACCTGAAAAGAGATTAAGAAAATAAGGGTCAAAAAGTTAGTTGCCAATCAGGTCAAAACATTGTCATTTAAAAAATCTACCTAATTATGGCAATGTTATCGAAATACAAAGTAATTTTCAATGCTATAATAAGAAAAAAATTGAAAGTACTATAACTCAGGTAGTTTTTATAAAGTGAAATTCCTTAATAATAAATATATTGAAAGCATACTGTTGAAATAGAAAAAAATGAAAGTATATGATCAGAAAGATAAAGAAAACAGAGTTCAACAGCTTCCAAAACCCTTGAAAAGAAAAACAAGAACAGAAAGATAAAAGCTTGAGAATTTCACAAAACTAATCAGCAATTAGAACTAGAAATAGAAATAGAAATAGAGTAATACATCCATGCTTAATAAACAGATTTTTTTTACCGTTGTTGCCTGCTTGAATCTGCAATGCGTTCAAGATTTCAAGGCTTCTGCAATGCGTTCGAAATTTGAAGGCTATCATGTTAAAATTGATAAATATAGTTTTTTTTGGAATGTAAGGGTAAATCGTTCATTTAGACTCATTCAAACGGTTTATTCAGTCTAGAAAAAGAAACAGACCTTGTGTGTACAGCAGCTTAAAGGACCAGATCCTTTTTCAGTTAAACTAGTAGCATTTGCATTAGTAGAATTTGGCACTGACATTGATTGTTCTTTCAAATTCAATACATCAGTCTCTTGCTTTTTTCTTTGCTCAGTCACATCTATTGGTATTTGCTAGCTGCTCAACTGATCAACCAACCAGATAAAGATTAAACTTTTATAAGATATAGGATGTTTTAAAAACGAAAAGTTAGTAAAACAAAGTTAAAAATAGAGCTCTATCTCAGTTTACCTTGGTTTTAGCCATCATTTGTGGCTAATTAGCCTTCTCAACTACAGCTGATGACATAAAGGTTTCTTACCTCAGTCGTATTCCCATCAATTCCTTCACTCGTTCCTTCAGTCTCCCCACTGTTTTTTAAACGAGTTACCATTTATATGTGGAAACATGTAAATTGACCAATATAGGCATGATGCAAGTTATGTTACCTGTGTGAGTTCCCATCATTGTTTCCACCTTCATAAAAGACTTACAAGATGATCTTAGAAAGGCCACATAATGATCCATGCATACCTTGCGAACTGGAGTTCCAGTATATCGATTTTAGATTTATAAGCAAACAAAGCCTCCATGTTAATTTAAAACATCCAAGTTCATGCTTCTCTAAACTGGATAAACAACATAATTACTTCCCCAGGTCCAGAAAGCCAGTCTTACTATATGGAACTTATTATTCTTCATTCAAACCAAAAGAGGAAATCTTTAGAAGTAAAATGATGAGTATCCTTCATAAGATCCATATATAACAAGAGGAAAGTAACACAACACCGACCAAGTATCTTTTGCCATCATTTGTGGTAACCATTGACCAATCAGTGCCAGCACACTTCTCCCTGAACAAAATATAAAAAACAAAGAATGAAAAAGGCAGATATTTGACAATTCGAAGGGGCTAAGAGTGACAAAAACAATAAAAACAGTGTCCAACTGAAGCATGCGAGCACTCACCATGAAATTGGAGTTGGTTGTTTCAGTCCTGTGGGCTGACCATGCATCCAACTGTTCAACACCTGATAAGAACCAAAAGAAGATATCACCAAACTGAAATGTATCAATAATGGCACATCTTGATGACACAAGCTTATTTCATTTGAGAACCAATGAAAAAAGTATCAAACAAACACAAGTAATGGTTCTAATGGTCCACTCTTTGTAATAAAATCACAAGTTTTTTTTTATAAATTCCTATTACATCCAACTGGATAAGAATATTGACATCACAACATGAATAAATACTTATTACATTCTTATTAGTGCAGAAATATTACACTTGTAAAGGCAAACCAACCTGTGTCGTCACACGAGGAGACGACGCCCACAGCAGAGAGCACCAAATAGGCACCGGGGCAAGCGATAACGGTAAAAGCGAAAATGAAGCAGGGGCGGAGCACACTTGCAACGGAGCAGTCGCACGGCGATCGGTGAGGGGGTTTACGAGCCTCTATCTTGCTCACTCTTGCCGATTCAATTAGGGCTTTTTTGCTTCTTTAAACCCTTATTCGCTTCATTGGGTTGCATTATGCTTATGGCTCCTGTTCGGGTTCTTACAGCCCTGGTCCGCCCGACCGATTGAAGTTGCTCCCTTTTTCCCACTTTACATAACTAAAACAAATGTTAATTGGAGTATAAAAATGAGTAGTGGTCACCTCAAAATCCGTAACGTCCGTGTTTCGAGGCTAAACATTAATTCGATAATGTAATAGTCAAGGTCAGCCATTGTAACTTATTTTAAAGTAATAAAGATGAATTACTTGAATATTATATGAAATATGTGATTTTTTATGATTATATACTTGTTTGTAAAGATATAATAAAAATAAGCTCAAAGATAAAATGTTATACAAACCCGATATCTATGAAGAAAGTTGTAGTGATCGTAACAAGCACTACAAGAAAATTTCTATTTAGCTATGGAAAATTCCGTAGCCAAAAACTAAAATTCCGTAGCTAAAGCTGAATAACTACGAAATTTGTTGCAAATTTTCAATTAGACTCCGTAACTTTATTTCTTGTAGCAAATTGTTTAGCTACAGAATTCTAATTTCATAGCAATTTTGCTATGACAGTTTCTACGACATATATTTCGTTGTAAATTGAGTTCCATAGCATTTTCGTAGCAAAATCCATAACAATTTTTCCGTAACAAATTCCGTTGCAATGTTTCCATAGCCAATTCTGTAGCAACTTTTCCGTAGCGAATTCCGTAGCAACTTTTCCGTAGCAAATTCCATAGCAATTTTTCCGTAGCAAATTCCATAGCAATTTTTCCATAACTAATTCCGTAGCAATTGTTCCATACAATTATTCAATAAATTTCAATTATTCAATTCGACTATTTATATCAATTTATAAAAATGCAATTAATATAAATCCACAAGTAAAAGAGTATTTCTATAGAAACTAAAGGAATATCCAATATATCAAAAGATACATATTTCAAAATCAAAAGTGGCTACTAATTAAATATAAAATGTTATTCGATACATAATATTCTATCATTGATTAATAAAAGTTTTAACCTACTCACTCAAAGCTTGTGCAAGTTGTTCAAACTTTGCTTGAACATCCATATTTTTTTGTTGAAACTCCACATTCTCTTGTTGACCATCCTTATATTTTTATGTTGAATATCCTCATATTGTCCGCGTTGCGTCTCAACTAAGGCAATTTGGTGTGAGACATAAGTCTTTCTTTTTATGATCCTACAATATTTCAATATAACCAGTAAAAACAAGAACGAATGATTAAACAAGAAATTTGACTGTTACATATTATAAATGAGGTAAAGCACAAAAAATTACCTTAAAAGCCTTTTTCAAAAACATATGAATTTTTTTTTCGTATTTTTGTCTAGCAGAACCAAATCCCACTGCAATGGCATTAAAAAAGGACATCGCCTTTTGCACAGCCTCTTCATGTGTTTCTCTCATTGCAACCTATAGTGATTTGAGAGAAGATTTTATAAAGGCTTGTACATTGGTTTATATAAAAATCAAAGAAAATAATGAATCATACTTACTTGGGTGGGCTTTGTACGATCAAAGATTGACACATAGAGATCAGTAGCCGACTCATATGCCCTTTCACACTCTGCTTCTTCAACACTCTGTAAAATGGAAATAGTTTAGTAAAACACAATAAGAATTAAAAAGAAAATTATATAAAACTAACATGCCATGAGAAGGTTATTGTAGGCACTGCTACATTTTACCTGTGCAAAATTTCTTCAAAACCAAGAAACATTAGAAACATCTGTCAACTATTGAAAAGGATTGTGAGGGCTACAAGCACAAGCCATGAAAATCCGTACACCTGTAGGAATGGAAAGATTCGTTATGTTTGGTTGGTTTATAGAAATAGAATAAATTTTAATGAATTTACAAAAGTGGTCCCTTCGTTTTGGATTTTTATCGTGTTTAGTCCAGAATTGAAACCTTTTCTACAAAGGGACCACTTTTGTAGTTAATTGTTTTTGTGTTATATGTGAATATGATGTAGGGTAAAAATTATTGAATTATAAAACATGATAAAAGATTATTAAAACACAAACAAGATTATAATAAAGCATATATAACTCTTTGAAAAAGATGGGACTTGTCTAGATTTTGAAATTCAAATTCTTACGGATAATGATGTATTTGAATCTTGCACATCCAATTTGTAAACAACACCATACTAGAATATGAATAACCGTAGGCTCAAAATTGTCTCCATAACCCTTCTTCGAATATGAGACTGCAAAAGAATCACATTTTATAATAATTAAGAATTGTATATAAATACATGGAAATGGAAAAACAAGGATATTTTTTAAAAATTGTAGTACCAATTCTTCATCTCACCAAGCTTCCCAACTTTCTTCTCCTGTAACACTAATTCCACCTCTATAGAAGAGCTAATTTGTCCGGTCTCTGAAGTCCTCTACCGTCCTAAAAATGGAAAACAAAAAAAAAGTATAAAATATAAAGATGATGTCATAAATTATAAAAAGAAAAAAGAAACTCACTTTTGCCACTTGAAACCAGATGGATTGAACAAATAAGGAGCAAAACGCCATGAAATGGCCATAAACCAACTGCTAACACTTAGAAGAATGTAGCCTACTAAACCACCTGCATTGTATACATATGCAATGCACACCACTAACAATAAAACCACTTCAATTCTGTTTCAATAAATAAATAAATTAAATATTAAAACCATAACTTCACAAATATGTACACAGTGATCACTGTTAAGTGTTAACTGCATATTAAACCAAAAAAGTTGTTAGCCGTTTAAAAAAAATAATACTATAAATTAATAAAAAAGAGTGTGTAGTCTACCATGGTGCAGAAGTAGAATCCAACGGTTATAAACTAGAACAAAAGCATCCGGAAGAAGTCAAAGAGTTCCAAAAACCTAAACCTTTCCCTTCATAATCCATCTTCATTCCCTGCTACCTTCTAGTTTTTGATGAAGAAGGTGATGGTGATGGTCATGTTGATGGTGATTGGATCAGTTGTTGCATAATGATCTTAATAATTCAAGAAATTCAGAATCCATTGATAGGTCTGGTTTATTTGTTCCACCAAAGTTGTATAGTCTTTTTTCAAAGAACTTGCAGTGAATCATTCCAGTACTATGAGCACCTGTAATGAAACTATATAGATTAAGAAGAACTGAAGCAACTAGAGTAGAGAACTGAAGAATAGATGATTGATTTGTGTACCTAAAAGAGTGACTGTTTCTTAATCAGTGAACCCCATGTTGCAAATCTTTCAATGTTTGTAGAAAGATCATATAAGGGACTAGGAAGCTCATAGGAGAGTGAGAGAAAGATCGACTGCTGTCTTTTCTACCTGTGTGAGCCGGATAAAATGGTCCACCAGCCTGTAAAAGAAATTAGATGTTAATAACCTAAAGTTTCATGTGTTCTTGAATGATTTGAAGAGGAAAAAGGTGAAAAGGGAAATGATTGGGAGATGAATGTGGTTAGTTACTAGAATCACACTCTCATAAGCAGCCACCACAAGAAGATCAACACAAGAAACTACACCAGGGCATGCATTTTCTAATTCGGCTTTGATGATGTCAATATGTTCAAAACATTTCAAACAATATATGGAAAAATCAAATTTAGACAAAACTAAAAACAATAAAACTGCTACAACATCATAACCATAACTCTGAATCACTATGTTAAGAAGATAGAATTCTTGTTCTTCTGTGGTGGGTGAGGACATGAGTTTGTTGATTATACCAAGCACAACATGTCTTAATCTCCCAGTCATGAAAAGCGTAAGGTTTGATTTCTGTAGGTAAACAAAACTTCCAAATCAAAATGAAAATTCATTCCAGAAATCAAAGTGGACGTTACTTGCTGATGGATACATTGTTCAAATATTCACAATTCTAATTTTAATTACCGTTAACCAATACGAATTATCAAATTAAACCTAAAAACTCAATCGATGTAATAGAAAAAATAAGTTACGGTTTTTTTTACCAAAACTTGGAGAAAAAATATGAAATCGGATCCAATGGTAAGGTCCACCAGCTGCAGCATCGACTTCGACGGTGGTTGCGGCGACAAGAGAGAGAGGCGATGTTGATCTTCGTTCACACTGTGAGAAAGAGGAGCAACTTTACTTGTTTAAGAGGTGGCCGGTTGCATGTCGGACCGACAGTGGAAGGGAGAAAGTATGTTGCGTCGACGACTTTGAAGGAGCTGGAGGGATTTGCTGCCGGCGGTGATGCGGAGGTGACGTCGTTGGCGGAGGCAATGGTCGGCTGGAGGCGGAAGGGATGGCCGACTGATTGCAGATCGGGGATGCTGGAACCTGAGGTATCGTGTGATTAGATAGAGAAGAGGGAAAGTGAGATTAGGGCAAAATCAAACCCACAACGATTCGATGAAGCTCACCCTTTAACATTCTCATATTTACCAAATTGTCCCTACTACTTAAAAAATAAAAAAAGAAAATCAAATATTACCAACGCGCATTTCCGACCGAACGGAAAATTGTTGATTTGTGTTGGTAAAGGGTCGGTAGTTGTTCAGTGGATAATGGCGTAAATGGAGATCGGGGGAAAATTGAGGAATGAGGAAACTGAGGAATGAGGATGGTATGTTCAGTGGTTCACAATCTCTAATTCTCCGTATGGTGTATTTAGACATGCGTATTGAGCTTAAAACCCAATTAATTTTGAGGCATTTATTTAAGGTAATAGTCTCATTAATTTATTTAAATTTAAATATTAATATTAATCTCTTTTTTTGTTTTTGATTATTTTTACTTGTCTTATGATTTAAATAGGTGGAAGGCCTTGTTCTTGAATCTTGATCATGGAGAGGCGAGCAGAGAATTGCCACATCATGACATGTAATAGGGTATTTTGGTAATTTCAGGTGGGGATGGGTTGTAAGGGTATTTTGATAATTTCACAGATAGTTGCACTTCCAAGAGCTAAAAGGAGAAACGGTTTAAAAATCTTAATTTAATTTCGGTTTTTTAATGGTGGTAATTGTTTTATTTTCTACTAGTATTACTGAAGGACAAAATGACCAGACAATTGCACCGACCAAGGATGTTGTTATTAGAGATGGTCTGCGATCAATAAAAACACCATTGAAATGAGGAAATTGTTAAGAGTAAGAATGGCACTTCAACTTTTTGACTTTAATTATATTTTCCCCTATAGCAAAATAGTTATGGAATTAAGTTCCGTAGCAAAATTCCGTAGCATAGTGGTTATGGAATTTCATTATGTGGCAAAATAGCTACATAATTCATTTACGTAACTAAATTCCGTTGCAAAATAGGTATGAAATATTATGATGTAGCAAAATAGCTACGGAATTTAAATTCGTAGTAATTTCCGTAGCAAAATAGCTATGTAATTTAATTGCGTAGCAAATTCGGTAGCATGCTAACTACGGGCTAACTACGGATTACGATTCCATAACAATTTTCCATAATTAGTTCTAAGTTTGCTATGAATTTTTTTTTCGTAGGAAATTTTGTAAGAAAAAATCTACGATACGTCATTCCATAGCATATTTCATAGTAAAATAGCTACGAAATTTGATTCCGTAGCATTTTTCCGTAGCTATTCATGATTTTTCTTGTAGTGAAGGATTCCGGAGATATAAAGAATATCGAAATCTGAGTTATAACGAAGAATTTATGACCTGTCGAAGTTTCGCGACAGAAATGGCACGACACTGCGTGACGTAAATAATGAATTTACGATAGATTTCTTTTTAGCCTTAGCGATCAAAACAAAAGTTGTAGTGTTCGCTAAACCAAGAGCATGCATAAAAAGAACGCCCAAATCCGACTTCGTATGACGAAATTATGATTTTTCCAAGTTTCGGATTAACAGTACAGAGCCCGGAGTTTGAATAGTAGATCGAACGGTTTTTGGCCGACACAAACTAAACGACAATAAAAGGTCTCATTAAAAGTTGTTCAATGGTAAAAAGACAAATGAAAAAGGACGTCGGATGAAGGAGTTATGAATTTTTAACAGACTTTTCATGTCCCGAACTGTTAAAAACATAACTTTAAAAATAAATCAAAATTAGCCGACGGAGTCTAAACGAAAGTCGTAGAGTACGGTCTCACCTACGCGTGGATATAAAGAACGTCCAAAACGGAGCTCGTATGCGGAAGTTACGAATTTTAGAAGTTGAGGGTGTCATTTGCGAGGCTGCTCATTTACGCCCCGCGTAGGAGAGGAGTGCGCCTCGCGTACTTGTATTGCATGGCCTCGGATTGACCACGTAGCCCCAGCAGCTTTCAGACACGTCTCCTCGAAATGCCCAGCGTACGGAGGTACGCCCCGCGCAAAGAAGTACGCCCCGCGTACCTCCGAAGTACGCGCAGCGTAGACCGCAGACTCAGCTCTATAAATAAGGTCCGAAGCTTGCCATTTTTATCACACCTTTTGCCATCTTTTTCTCTCTCTACTCTCACTCTAGCTTCCCCAAACACCTCCGAAGCCTAGGAAACCTCCCTAGCACTAGAAGAAAGCCCCAGAGCGCACGAGAACTCTGAGAAAAGAGTTTTTCGGTTTAGAAACTTTGCGCCCGCAGAGCCCGATTTTCAAGCAAACCTCCCGGTTTCGTCAAAGAATATTATTTTAAGAAGCGAAGTGTTGTCCGAATCACCACCTTATCAAGTGAGTGCATAGTTACTTTCATCTTACACATAGATATGAAGTATTTTATATAATTTACGTGCTATGTGTGCATATTATCTGTTTACTTGAGATTTGTGCTAGATGAAAGATTTAAACTTTGTTTTCCATATCTAAGCTGTATATGTATTTTATACTTTGAGATCTATGTTGGATGAAAGATCTAATTTCTTTCTTTTCAGATCTGAACCTTTTTCTTCAAATCTAGACTGTAGATGTATTTTGTTTTCAGATCTGAACCATTTTCTTCAGATCTGGACTATAGATGTATTTTGTTTTCAGATTTGAACCTTATTCTTCAGATCTAGACAGTAGATGTATTTTGTTTTCAGATTTGAACCTTATTCTTCAGATCTAGACAGTAGATGTATTTTGTTTTCAGATCTGAACCTTTTTCTTCAAATCTAAAACTATAAATGTATTTTATATCTACAAAAATGTTGGGTAGAACATGGGTAGATAAATTATGAGGTATGAAAGATTATATAGATGAATATTGGTAGCTGCACCACAACATGTAGATGATTTTGAAACACGATGTACTCTAAACATCCTAGCAGATACGCCTATAGGATAATATCGGCATTTGCGCTTAATAGAGAACATCATAATCCTGGCAGCTGCGCCTAATAGATGATATTGGCCGTTGCGCCTAGTTGAGAACAACACAATCCTGGCAGCTGCGCCTAATGGATAATATTGGCAGTTGTGCCTAATAGATGACATTAGCAGTAATGGATTTCGCGCGTATTCCCTAGGATAAACCTTAGGAATGAATGCATAAAGGATAGCTGGTTCTTAGGGTAGATCCTTAAGATTAAAGAAGATAATGCGGATGGGTAATCGGGTTGATTGTTTGATGATGAAACATAATAATTATATTATTGTGGGTTAAAAACCCTATGTACTCACCAGGTTTCCCAACCTGACCCACTCAGTTTATTTGTATCACAGGTGTCGATATAAAGCTACACTACATTGAGATATTAAAAAGATGTAGATCACTAGTGTAAATGAATGTAAGTTCTGTTTATGCTTATGTTTCTGTATTGACGTTGACATCCCAATGTTTTAAAAAGAATAAAATACATTTCTTCGGAAATGCTTTGATAACATATTTATCATGTTTTTTTTTTCTGCGAACAAAATTCTGCAACACTTTTCTTTAAAAGTATACTCTGATTTTAAAAATAAAGCATAAACAAATCAGTGTTTTTTGGCCGTGAAAATGGGGATGTCACAGTTGGTATCAGAGCATTAGTTAAAGGAACTAGGAATTTATAGGATTTCTAGACTTAAACTTAGAATGCTAAGCGATGATTGTGAGGAGTGTGTCTATTGTATTCTAGGTAGTACACCTGAATAGACACAGGCGCTAGCTCATTTTAGGAAAGATGCCGAAAATGCTTTGATATGCTAAATGCTTTATGTTTGTCGTATATGCTATTATTTGTTCAGATCTATGGTCTGTTGCCGACCGGATCTGGAAGCCTTACGTGTTTAGGATTTTAAGCGTTCGATTACGATATTAGAACTAGCATGTAACGTTTCGGAGTGATAAGGAAGATTTAAACGTCTATCGTAAATAAAGATCTAAATTCACCTACCTTGGTGTATATTTCAACATGGTGAGAACCCGAAGTGGACTCGAAAATGCAAATGGAGACAAAAATCAGCAGCCTCGTCCCCAAGGGATAAAGCAGGTGCTGAAAGTAAAAGCTGAACCCGAGCCAGTCACGATGGCTAGAGTACAAGCCATGATTCGGGCTATGATGGCTGAACAGAGGGAAGAAATGAGGCAACTGTTGCTGAATAACAGGGATGAACCTTCGATGCCTATTGAACAACCAGAACTGAATAACGGACAGTCAGAGGAACGGAATTACAGTCGCACTGTCAGTCAACTAGAACCCCTAGTGGCAAGAAGGAACGACCCGGAGGGAGAAATCGATAGAGATGGACGTATGTATAAGAACTTCTTGGGTGCCAAACCACCAAGTCTTTCCGAAAGCCCAAAGCCAGTAGAGATTATGGACTGGATCTCCGAAGTGGAAATGGTATTTGAAAGCTGCAACTGTAGCAACAAGTGGAAAACCGTCTTTGCGGTCAGACAACTGAAGACTTGAGTTTTAAGTTGGTGTAAGTTATTAGCAGATACGATGCCATGAGGAGAAGCTCTGAAAATGTCTTGGGAAGCGTTCATCGAGCAGTTGAAAATGCAGTACTGCCCCGAAATGGATCTGGTAGATCTAAACAATGAGTTCCAGAACTTGAAGAAGGGGAGAATCTGCATTGATGACTATGCTACTGCATTCACCGAGAAGATGAAGTTATTTCCATACCTGGTGCTGACTGAACTCGCCA